GCAATACCCAGTGTTTCCAAAAAATTTGTAACTAAGTATCTAGTAGTTCTTTTTGAACTATTGTATGTAAAAATGGTTCTTGCGTGTTTACTTGTATATGGAAAAACTGGTTATAGTTAATATTAATATATGGGATTAATTAATATAATTTTTTTCCTGGCATTTTGCAATTAAAAAATAAGCCTTTGTTTAAATAAATTCAAAAATATAAATTAACTACCTTTTTTATTGAAATAATTAATCGAAAAATGTTGGGTTTTACATAAAAAAAAAATGTATTAAAGATAGAAATTAAATAAGCCAATATTAATATTGATTTTGTATTTAGCGTTCATATACAGTTAGAAGGCCGAAAAAAGCGAAATTTCCAGAATTTTTTCTGAAAAAACATTTAAATTTATCGATTAAAAATTTATTACACATATTAAGGTAATTTTTAACTGTATTTTAAGTCTTAGTATTAGTAAAAATATTTATTTAGGTAGTTCCTTTCCTGATTTGCGTGAGGTCCTCTTAAAGCAGACGTTTTGCGGTGGCCACTATATCTCTGAACTGGTTTCTCTGAAATTAAAAACCAAAGAGATTTCGTTTAAGTAACATTAAATCTAGTAATTAAATGAAGAAATAAGCAAAATATTTTTTTTTTACAAAATGGCGGTTTTAAACAAATTAGTAGATTTTTAAGCCAAAATTGCAGCATTATATTAAAAAATAAAAAAATAAAAAATATTTATCGGTGAGAAAAAATCTTCGACTAGTTACTAAAAAAAATATATTTATGAAACTCATGATAAAATTTGAGACTAGCCGTTTATGAGCAATGTGGGTCATCGACTTTGAAAACACTATTTTGAGAAATGCACTTCCAAGCACGCTGAAACGCCTTTTCAAATTTGCGTATAATTTCGAAAATATTCACCGGAACGATATGAAATTTTCCGTGTGTATTATACACAGTAAATATATTTACATTAAGAAAGTAAAAAAAATCGTTTTTTTTTTAATTCTAGCTGTATATAACTCCTTTATTTCTATAAATTGTAAATAAATTATATGATTGTTTAATTACATAAGTATAATTTATAACTGTGTATAAACATATAATATTATATAGTAAGCATATATTATATTTTTGTTGCTATTAAAGTTAAGTACACAAGTAATGTAATACATTTTATACAAAAAAGTAAAAAATAAAAATAATAAATATATAAAATTTAATAAAAGTCGACGATCGTTCTTTGCTATAATTAAAATAGTTATTTATAACGGTAAAGTATCATATACATATGTATATTATAGATATATTTTATTTGCCAAAAGCAGACGAAAAGGCATTAAAACATAAAATATAGTTAACAATTTACGAAATTTTGACAGGTGGCAACACTTTTACTAATATTTTCAATCGTAAACTTTTTTTGAGCCTACAGCTTGTAGAGTTTGTTCATGTCGTCAATTTGTTCTAATGTCACTCTTACTGCGCTCGTTTCAAAAGCCCAATCGAGTTCGCGTGGATTGTTGTATTGTCACAACCTTCGCATATTGTCAACTGTAAGCATTGCACAACTTTCTTCCGTGATTTAGCAATTCGCTTGCAATTGTTAAAATAAGTTGTCAAAAGTTCAGCTCGTTGTCTTTTCCTTGTTATCGGTCATATTTGTATTCTCATTACTCATACGCCCTGTAAAACCACTATATATTATATTACTTTGTGGTGAGGATTACCGCAGCTTTATTTTGAATGCGTGTGGAAAAAGTTGTGTTGGCGAATTTTAGAAAAATATGCGCTCAGATCGGAGTCGCCGTCACGGATACATACTTTGAACGCAGAGTTTACAGATTAGTGAAAGAAGTTGGAGAACCGCTGGAAGAAAATAAATCGAGCTAAAAGGAGATTTTGTTGCCAATTAAATCAAGATTTTTCCAAATTTTCGTTTTTCTTTTCAAGATTTACTAATAATTGGACCAACTTTACTTTGGTAAGTTACTTCGGTCTTAATCTAAACCTCAAATGGTTAAATCAAGTTTTGTGAAAAATATATGAAAAATAATGCTTCTACAGAGCTGGAGTCAAATCGTCAAAATAAACACTAGTTGTAAGGAAAAGTAAAAAAAACAGTTAAAATTACCTTATATTAGCGTGGAAAAAATGTGCAACCGTTAGCAGGGTTGTAATTAATGCATAGAACACAATTAAATTATTTTTTTTTTTTTAATGTCGATACCCTTATTTTAAAAGAAACTTTTAATCTCAAATACGGGATAGAAAAATAAAATTTAATTCCAAAAAGAGATAATATAAATAAGGGATAGGGAAATAGAGATAAAAAATAATCCCAAGTAGAGGATTAAAAAAAAAATCTTTCCAGAAACTGTATTAAAATTTTTATTTAAAATGTCCTCCTTTTTTATTTTTAACTTTTAACACTTAAAAAAAAATTTTTTTGAGAACTAAAATTTGTTCGCCACAAAATCTCACTTTAATCTACATAGTTAAGCTTTTTTTTTGTAATATTTATATTTATATTAAATTGCTTTAATTCTAGTGTTTCAGTGAGAAATATGTCATATCTTATCCCTTTTTCTTACCAGCTTTTAATTTGAAAAATAATTTTCTATTTTCAAATCAGGTGTTTTCATATTTTTTTCTTACAAGATTTTTGGGATAAAAAATCAAATTTTCAATTTTTAACTTAATTTTGGGATTAAAAATCAAATTTTCAATTTTATACTTGAGTTTAAATTAAAAGTTGGAAATTACCAATTTCAATAAATTTCCAACTAATACTTTTTCTTATAGTCTATTAATAGTTTTCTGCGACTTGTCTTCGCCTACCAATAGTCATGTTGATCGTTCGAAGTTACTACATATAGAGGAACCTTAATTCAGTCACCGAGTAACCTATGGTGCATGTAGGAGGTACAGGTAAAAAATCTTTAATAAATTGATATTAAATATCAGACTTTTTATGCGCTTTTTTTTGCAGGATAATACACGTACACTATTTGATTTATGAGCTTGGGCAAAGCAAATGGAGTTTGACATAAAAGCGCTGCATTTTTTCTACAAATTTGACAGATGTTGCCGTTAACCGAGTTAAGTCAAATCTGAGCTGTATTAATGCCTAGAGAACCAAGTTGAAATAATTGTAAAATCTCTTTTTAATCCTAGAACCGATGATCTTCCTACTACGATCTGTATTAAAAACCAGTTTTTTCGGATTGGAGACATTCAAACAGTCGTGTTCCTGGATTTACGCGATTTACCATGTTAGTCACACTGTAGGTGATATCTTATATTCCTATTATTCAATATATTCATACATCAATATGTTTTTTTTTTTTTCTTTCCTGGTTTCCCGTACTTTATAAAATATAGTATATCGCACCAAAATGTGCATAAAACGGATAGTTAACAAAAAATATAAGCAGGTAAGAAACACTAATATCGAATATAATAACAATTAAGAAGTAGTAGGTTAGGTACATCCTTATTACAGCACTTTGCTCTCCGTTGTCACCGTATTTGCGACGTTAAAACTCTTAGATTAAATCCCAAATTTTTAAATTTTGAAAAAAGACACACTCGTGGCCACGCAAATCTTACCACTATACTTTCTTAAATTTTTTTCGGACTTTATCGTTCGTTCAGGATTTTCTCAATTTTTTTTATATTTTTAATAAGCATAAGGAGACTAAATTATATTATCTAATTATAATTATTTATTTATTATGATTAAATGAAATTCAATTAAAAAGTATATATAATTTTTTCATCGCATGTCAGTCTCTTACATTTCGAGCTCATTTTGTAAAGCTACCTAACTTTAAATTGATTTAATCTATATCTGATTGTGTTTTGTTTTTAAGTGTTAATATTTTTGATAAATAATATGTCATCAACTTATTTCTAAATATAAAATTTCTATACCGCAAAAATTATCGCTATCAAGTATTGTCCAATAAGCACAACACTTAAAAATTTTGCGTGGTAAGGTTTCCGTGGCCACGAGTGTATTTTGGCAGATATGCTTGTTTGTCGAAAAATTTCAAAATGTAGTAAAACAAAAATACGTAAATTAAACAAAACTAGGGTTTCTGGCTACCTCAAAAATGATAATATTCGTATAATTATTTGACTGTAATATATTTAAATAATCTTCTTTTTCCATAATTCCAGTGATCACGCGGTCCCGTACCATGAGACTGTCTCCACTACATTTTACAGTTTGTCGCACATGATGTTGTTGAAGGTTTTTATGTGAACGACACATGTTTACCATACAATTGAAAGCGATTGATCCAACCAGATAACATTTTTCCAATCTTCTATGGACCAGTTTTTATGTGCCTGTACAAAAGCTTAGACGTGCCTTAATATTTTTCTTAGAGAGAGAGCATGTTTCTTCGTTTGAATGATGGCCCCAAAACCACTTCTTTGAAGAGCTTTCCGAGCTAACAACTTTTTTTATGGGTATTGTTGCCTGTTGGATGTATCTAGACTCTTTTCGTTTCATTTTCATCAACAACAGTATCTAATGATTTAAAATTCATCCATTTGTCTGAGGAGAACTATTAATTATTAATTAATTTCCTCAATCTTACATTTTTTCTCCTTTAAGTTGGTCGCCTTGACGTGGCAAAGGGGCTTAAGTAATAGTAATGTGCGGATCCCAAATGGAAACGCACTCTACTCTTACGAACCAAGAGGGACACCTCATAATTCCCACAATGGTGATATGGATGAGTAAACACTCGGTTTTACGCCCATCTCTTATTGTGGAAGTGTGAGGATACCCGCACCAACACCACCCTAAGCCAAGGTGTTGAGGTACCCGTGCCGATGGCTGAATGATCAGCGGGCGGTAATGAATAGCTGATCGCTAACGGTCCCCTCCGATGCCCGGGCGAGGTCGGAGGTATTTAATGCCTTCTCTACGCATACCGGCTCTGCGGACGAGTGACCAAGCCTTTCCGGCCTACTCGTGGGACCAAAAATGAACAATGAAATTACAGCAACAACAAATACAGCAACAACAACCAACTTGACGCCAATAACGACGATTACGGGAACAGCTACACTACTACCGACATATCGGAATCCAATCATGAAATCCGAGGAGGATGACCTAATCGCCTTTAGTAAGGAGACGATTAAGAGTACTACCGGACGTATCAGTAACAGCACACCGGTAGTGACAGCAGCGGAAACCGCCAACCCAAGAGTGGAAGCCTCCACTTCCAAAGCTGCCATTAGCACCAACCAAAGTCCACTGGTGGCTAAAGTAGGCAATCAACGCAAGAAACGCAAAAAAACACAGAATCAACTGAGGAAACGCCGGTACCAGCAAGCAGTCTTTATACTTGGTAAGAAGGCCAAAGATCAGGCAGCCGGAACCCCAGTAGATGAGGACGAAATCAAGCGCCTTAGAAGGATAGTGGAGGATTGCGAAAGGAAACGCCCAATCACCGAATCGCAAGGTACTCTGCCCAAAAAACCCAGGCGGAGTGAAGGAGAACAACGCAGCTCAACAGTGGCAAGACATTTCTGCGATGTAGTCAGAGATAGCCTACAAGTAGCCGTTATAGACAGCAACTCCTCCTCACCAAGCACAGTGCATGAACGATGGGTGGAGATCGACGTCAGATTGTCGAGTATGGTGCTAAGCTATGTACTCGATAATCCTGCGGGTCCTTACCCAGAGTTTGACTCCTCTGAAACAGTTAGAGGTTACAGGGTCATCAAATGCGCGAACCAGAGCTCTCTAGATTTCCTAACGGGTAGCGTTGCTAAAATTAGCAACGCCTTTGTAGGCCTCCAACTGAGTCTTATACCCGCTAAGGATATCCCGAAGAGACCTCATGCTCGCATTTGGCTACCCCCGCTAGAGGACTCAGGCGAAAAACTCCTCAGGTGTATCAAGCTGCAAAACAGGGCTATATCAGGCATAAATAAGTGGCAGCTGATTAAGGACGAGAAACCAAACAAAGCAAGTAGACCAATTCTAGTGGAGATTTGCGACGAGTCCATAGAGGCTCTTACGAAGGCTGACAACAAAATCAGCTTCGGTATTCGCAAAGCCAGGATAAAAATCTTCCATTACGACAAAGCGGCTGACAAAGATGACACGAACGAGGTCGACGACGTTAGCCAGCTGCCAAGGAACGGAGGCATCAAGGAAATCTAAGGTAAACAATAGCCTTAGATATGTGCAGAATAATCTGCAGCACTCGAATAGTGCTACAGCCAATTTGACAACCTTCACTAACGAGAGCGGCATCGACATCAGTCTTATACAGAAGCCCTGGGTTAAGGAAAACACCATTAAAGGCCCAAACAGCAGTAACTGTAACATTTTTACACACGTAACGAAGGTAAATCAAGAGCATGCATTCTTATCAATAAAAGTATAAATTCATTCCTCCTTCTAAATTACAGCACAGCAGATATCGTGGTTGTAAAGGTGGAGCAAAAGAAAAACCATCTCTTCTTGGTCTTAGCGTACATGGCTCCTGAAGTGGACATACCACCGGCATTACTCATTAGAGTAATTGAGAACAACAAAAAAGTATGATTTCCTAATAGGGTGAGATGCAACCTTATGGGCAAGCTCCAATACAAACACCAGAGGTGAGTCTCTTCAATATATTTTAATTAAAAATTTAAGTATATGTAACAAGGAGGATAGGCCGGTTTTTTAGTTTCCCAAGCTCTAAAAGATTTACTGGTTGGTAGGAAGTACTGGACCTCACGTTTTTAGACTTCTATGTCGGATCACTCCTGGGTACTCTTCCCAATTCGCCAGAAAATCGGTACTCCTCTCCAATATCGAAACCCTAGAGGAACAGCATGAGAAAAATTTGCTAAAATAGCAACAAAAGGCCTTGAAAAAGGAGACAATAACAGTATCAGTAATCCTCAGGAACTTGATACAGAGGTAGAAAGGATAGAAAAAATTTTAACAACAACATTCAATAAATTCACTCCGCTAACAGTTCTGAAAAAGAGAAAATGTCCTCCTTGGTGGAACAGTGAGCTTAAGAACCTGAGAATATGACTAAAGAAAGCTTTCCATGAGAGTTTCAGAACCAAAATATGGCAACCCTATAAAGATATCATGAAAAGATACAAAAAAGGGGTCAGGAAATTCAAAACTGTAAAATGTTATCCAAAGAACACACCAATACTGTCTGTATAAAGGTGGAAGGAAATGCTTGGACCTCCGCTGGAGAAGAATCTCTGGAGGTACTTATTAAAACGCATTTCCCTGGGAGTCAGCAAAGAGCAACAACCGAGGTTTAACCAGAACTACTGGCAAACGCAGCTGACTACCTAGGCCTGATAGTAGACAAAAGGAAAATTAAATATGCCATAAATACTTTCTCACCACTTAAAACGGCAGGACCAGACGATAAGCCAATAATGCTGCAAAAGCTGGAAGAATCGAAGGTTCAAAGGCTTGAAACTATATACCAAGCAAGCGTTCAACTGTGTTACATCCCAAGAAGTTGGAAAAGAATTGAAATGGAGTTCCTACCAAAATTAGGCAGTAGAACACATAATACAAATAAGGAAATAGTTTTCCACTTTCTCTGTGAATGCCCAGTCCTATCGCAGATTCGAGACAGAACTTTTGGTATCAATGAAGCACCAAACCTTTAATGTTGGACATTAGTTGTCTATACCACAGAATGAATTGAAAGAGAAGGTGAAACGTGATGGCAATACTTAAAAGGTCTACGACTAGTGCCTCAAAATGGCACAGCCAGTGCTAATTGAGCTCGAAATACAACAGGGCTGCACTCCTATCTACCTACCTCTACAGTTTAGCTACCAATAACGTAGCCCGATTATTGTGCCAGTTATGATACAAACAACTAATTTTTAGTTTCAGGAATATACTCCCACCTCATCAAGTTTTTTACGTGATGCACCACGTATTTGGTTGCAGTTCTATTCTATCATTTCCGATTTATAGAAATTGTATTATATTATATCTTAGAATTTAACATGATTTTTGGTAAAATAATCGGTCACAAGCGTCGATCGGTTTTTTGGTCGTCAGTCAATTTGTGCGAAACAAAACGTTCACATACCTTTCGTAAACCCAAATGAGATAAATCGATGTTTTGGAGATGTTCAATTCCATTTCCATGAATTTCAATGATGATTTCGTCTGATTTTTGATGAATTCACGCACAGTTTCGATGCAATTTTCGGCGATCACGGATTTTGATTGACCCACATGTTGATCGTCTTTTACATCCTCACTACCACTTTGAAAACGTTGAAACCACTTGGGAACTCTGCTACGGGATAGGTAATCATCGCCATACACTTGTTAGATCAATTGAAACGTTTCGGTAAAATTTTTGCTAATTTTAGAACAAAATTTAATGTTGGCTCTTTGTTCGAAGCTCATTTTCGTACTGATCACTAGTATGTAATTCTCAATCGGTTTAAAATAAATTGCTTTGAATTAAGTTGGGGGTTCATAAAATAAGCCAACAAGTTTTAAGAATTCAAAGTTTTATTCTTGCATGCTGAGATGCCAATGCTTAGAAAAAAAAAACTATTTCGATGTAGCTCGAAAACTGATAACGATATCATCTTCGGTCGACTGTGTGACTGTGAGTGAGATCAGTAAGATACGCCTCTGTAGTATGGAGAAATATCGCAGTATACACAGATACTAAACGAAAGTTTGGAGATTAATCTGCGAAACTACTTACTTAAATTGACTTCAAGTTTTATATAAAGAAATCCATTATTTTACAAATAGATGGGTAATGGGATCTGTATTTGACGTTGTATAATGGGATCTGTATTTGGACCTGCAGTATCAATAATTGAACCGTCGTAGAGCACAGAAGCGGTCGTCTTTAGCCAATAAGAGAGGAATTATGTTCCAACAGTGCAAAGTCAGGCCATCCTCAACGATAGCGACTCCACAGAAAATTCGGTTCTTATGCATCCATCATGTAGTTCGGGCCTGGCGCCAAGTGATTACTATATCTTCTTGTCTATGGCGAATGATTCGCTTAAACGAAACGCTGTTTTTAGAGATTTACAAAGAAACGACTTATTTGGGAAGTCACGTTTTGTCAAAAGGCAAAGTTTTGACTAGTAATTTGATCATTCGTCTATTATACCTTGGTTTTTTTGACTTGAGCTAATTTTAAACAAAAAAAAAACTTTCCTCTCCGCCAGACACTTTGTTTTGGAGATCCTCCTGGAGAACGGCTACGGGAACAAGGGAATCTAAAGTTTTTACTGATATACAATTCTGCAAATGCATGTAGATATAACCCCTTAATGACAAAATTATACGTTTTTATTTACTAAACCTTACGTCACTATTTGTTAGGATTAAATTTTCCAAACACTTGTGAATACCCCATGTTGTTGAATGTTTGTGAGCGTAACATATTCAATACATTGGGGAGCACTTCTCTATGCTCCACTGATAATTTCAATGCAAATATTTATGAAAGCAAAATTGAAAAGATCATTGTGGAGCTAAGTTGTTGAGTGATAAAGAGCATAATGCTCAAAAGTAAAGTTGGCTGAGTACTGATTGATAGAGAGAGAGGCAGAGAGGGAGAATAACACCAATACTAATATTAACTGTGTTGACTCTTGAATGAAATCATTTGCTAAATAACGGGGGGTGGAAGACCTACACAGAGGTTGTGGATGCGTGTTGGAACATTTGGAATTGCGGACCAAGCACGAATACAAATACAAAAGTGTTAAGTATATTGAATAATAGATGTATGGTAACACTTGGAACACTTTACTTAACATTATCTTTTGTTTTTATTTCTTATTTTTTATATTCATTTACTTTTTTTTTTTTTATATGTGAGACACTGTCAAACATAGGAACAAACATGAATGCGAACGAAGCAACACGTCAGAATTTGTATTATTTTATGTTCATTACTATGGACGCGTTTGGTTTCTGTGCGTTTCAGTCGTTGCTGTTACGCCATTGTGCGCGGTTCGCTCGTTGATTCCAAAGGCGAGTGAATATTTTTCGTTGCCTTGCGTGTTAGTCCATCTGGCCACATCTCGTGCGAACAACGTATGCCATAGATGTGTGTTTTGTTCGTGGTGTTAATTAATTAAATTAATCATACATATTGAATTTTCGTTTAAAGTACGCGCCTGAATATTTTCGAAAGTGCGTTCTGCAATCACTCTTAGCTTTGTTGATCTTAACCGGTTAAGAAGTGGTGGAAAACTGTTGCATTTGAAAACAAAACAAAAATCGCAATGAATTGGCTTGTTACGGTTGCACCGGCAGTAGCCGTCACGCTGATCGCTGTATTGGTGACGAAAGTTGGCTGGCGTTGGTTTTACATTGCAGCTGTAACATCGAAGCGTGATCTGACGTGAGTTGCACCACTACACTGCTCATTTTTGAACATATGCACATATTAAAAAAAAAAAAAATATTGTTTTTTTGTGTTGTGTCTAAAAGTCATAGAGTAGGTATAGACAGCAGCAGAAAATTATTTAAATAAAATATGTACATAAACTCATAACAGGTTAATATTTTCGCGGAGAGAATGCCAAAGAGTTGAACTTTTTTTTTGTTTTTATAAATACAGTTTTTATATCTAACAAACTGTAACCGTATTGTGGTTAGTCAAATATGGAGCATTTTTAGTTTTGTTTACTTTTATATTTGGCAATCCCAAAAGTGTATTACATTTTCATGCTAGAATACGCAGTCGTAGCGTTGATTTTTTATTGAGCGTTTAGAAAGTTCTTTATAAGCAGACGAACATACATACATACATTCGCGTAATTGTACATGTTTGGTTTCTATATTTCTTGATCTCACTCTAAATCAGATTATGACTTCTCGCTTTTTTTTGACAAACTAGTTACATTGAAACGATTTATACATTTGTTTGTTATAGATGGTCGAATTCATTAGATACAATCGTTTGTAAAACGACTGTTACACATTCAACATACATACACATATTGACCGCGATCCAGGTTCTTGATATTTATTGAACGTTGAATATGCAATATTGATGAATCGCGTTCCGTGTTGGAAAATATTTAAATATTTTGTAATTCGAATCGCATTATCAGTATGAACGTTTAGCACATATTGTATATTAATTCGCGATGCGACGAAAGAAAGTATTAAAAAAATTTAAATCCGTG